CACTCGCACTCACTCACACTCACTCACTTACTCTCTCTCTCTCTCTCTGCGCTCGCTCGCTCTCTCTCTTTCTCTCTCTCTCTCTCTTCTCTCTCTTCTCTCTCTCTTTCTCACTCTCTCTCTGTCTCTCTCTCTCTCTCTCTCTCTCTCTCTCTCTCTCTCTCTCTCTCGCTCTCGCTCTCGCTCTCTCGGACATGGTAGAACGAGCTCAAATTTGATGCTGCTGTGCGTGACTGACCCCAAACTTCCGTGCTGCTCTGGCCACTACATAGCCGAAGCGGAAGGGAAGTACTAGTTCTATGGAAGAAATTGTTTGAAGCCCAGGGTGGCAGCCCTTCGAGCCAATTCTCTTTGCAGCAATGGGCATTGGTCGTACAATGGTCACCAGTCGGAAGTCGCACATAGTGCCAGACCCCTAAAGCCCAACCGCCATGAACTGTTGAGACCTCTCCTCCCTTTACGCGTTTACATATACCGACACGCACACACCTGCACGAAGGCGCACGGCCCAGGAATTCCCAAACTCATCCAAGACTGGGACCCCTAAACCCTCAGCCCAAAGTTCCTAATATTCCGGGAGCTCCAGTGCAAACAGGCGGCAAGTAGGCCGGCTGCCTCACCCGCTAGGGTTCGGTTAGGGCTAGGGTCCAGCGTTTATGGGTTACAGGGTTTCTGGTATATATCTATGCGGCTGTAGAAAGGTTTAGCAAGGGCTTACGTGTAATTGTAAGCAGGGGCTGACTTCGCCTTTCGATGAGGGTTTCTGCAGGGGTGCCGCCTCCCTCGGAGGCGATCTCGCCTATGAATCTAAGGCTGGGCATCGAGGTTGGAAACCTTTTCCAGCAGAAGCCACAGCAGGCTGGTTGCACTTTGCCCAGAACTGAAGAAGCTTGTTTCAGTCTATGATGTCTATGTCCCGGGAGAGGGCGAAAGCAAAATAAGTCTGCCGCAGTTGCCGCCTGACTCCTGTGAGGACATCCAGCTCTTTCTTGCCGGCAAGTCGCTGAAGTATTGTGACCGCCCAAGAGATTTGGCCACCTGGTGGTGTCCACGCGCAAAAGCTGTGCCCATGTCGCCGAGGCAAGCTGAAGACGACCAGCTGCCAAACAGGTCGGGTCAACAGACTTGGCCTTGATGACTGTCACATGCACTCCACCAGAGAGAAGTTTGAACATGATTCAGCATGCTGAGCTGCTGGCATCCGGGTCGGGGCAAGGAAAAGGAGGCAGAATAGGAGCAGGAGGAGGCGGAGGAAGATCAGCAAGGGAGGAGCAGGTGAAGAGTTAAGCAGGAGCAGGGTGGGAAGCTTGGACGTTGCATTCAGGCGATGATGATGTGGAAGTGGGAGTCAACACGGATGAGGTTTGGACGGACGACAAGGAGCGCCGGACGCGCGAATTTCTTGCAACATGAAGGTACATGGCCCAGGGGGTCCATGCTACCACAACACGATTTGCCACGATACATGCAGATTTATGAGCCTTGCAATCCTTCCGGCCATGCAAGGAGATGCAGTTCCCAACCTTGACAAGCGGCCAAACAGCCAAGCTCATGGCTCAGAATAGAACGCAGATTTGCAGAAAGTGGGGAATCTGAACCTTTGTTCAGGCAAGAGATGGCAATAGTAAAGTCATATCGTAGATAGGCCCCGCTTTGAGGTCAACTGGGGCAGAGGCACAACTTCTTCCTTTCCTCAGGCGCTCTAATAAAACCATCGAAAACGTAGTGTTGAATTGACATCCGTCTTGGATATGCCAGGCGAGTGCTACCCCTGTTTGAAGCATCCATCGTGGAGGGCAACCGTGGAGCCCCTAGCTACATCCTCTTCCTCTAAGAGGGCTATTTGTTGAAACATCTCCAGCTACAGGTCGTGCTGGTGTTGTTGCGCCACCGCCCGCGGATGAGCAGTTGGGCCAGACTCTGGTCCGGGCGCCAGGAGCATCGAGAATCCCTGCGGCCTGCCACAGTGTGCTCTCAGGTGCGGTGCTCGCTCCCGGAAAGTTTCGTTTCCACGTTCATAGGCCTGTCTGATGCAGATTTCAACCTACAGGGCCAATCCACAGCCCAGCAACGATGCAGGTGCTTGGCCCTCGGTCGTAGACGTGTCCATCGTGGAGAAGTGGTCCACTGGCTCCAGGGAACAGCTGACATCTGAGATGCCGCGGTATGTGATGGTTCCAGGTACGGGGCAGACCACGCATTGGCACTTTATGGCTGGGAAGAGGCACCTTGCTCGGCCACGATCCGGAGCCGGAGAAATCTTTGGAAGTGTGTGTGTGTGTGTGTCTGTCAGGTTGTTCGGCCTCCACCCAGCGAGATTCTCGGGTTAGCCAACTTCATGAGGCCCATCCGGAGCCTGGTCCGGGCCCCAAGATGCGGATCTCACATGTGCCAATGGGTTGGTATCGGTCCTTCGCGGCCGTACTCCTTGCTGTCGAGGTGGGTCTTCATCCGATTGTGCTAGGCGGCTCTGGAGGTGTGCCACCTCAGCTTAATCCGTTGCTTGGACCTTCTTGCAGCAGACGATCTTGCAGGTGCTTCTACCCGCCCTGCACGGTGTCTGTATGCTTTCTGTCGCTCAGCGGCATTGCTGCACTTCTCCATCCGATGCATGTGACTTATGCATTCTGACATTGCCGATGACAGGTCGCTTGAGCTCCCTGACGGTCGTGAACGGGAGGTCATTGCGCTAAGATGCGACGCTTTGCAAGCTCAGTCTCGATGCACCGAGGTCTCACCTGATAGTGGCAGGCTCGGAGACAGGTTCTCTCCTGGTCTTGACCTCATGCACATTAAGTTTCTGCTGCATTGACGGGGCTGCTCCAGTGTACTGCTGCTCACTTCTGGCTTTTCAGGTCTACGATCTCCGGGCAAGAGCGAGAAGTCCGGCAGACTTGCAGGGGGAAAGTGAAGGCGGATTGCGTAGGAGACACCTCCAGGCCACAGCTCAGCCATAGTGCAGGCCCACCTCCCAATCCTGATGCTGACATCGCTCACTTCGAGGCAGGGGCATGGTGTGGCCGGGTACCGGGCTGGACAACAAGAGCTCTCACGCTTGCAGGGTCCAGTCTGGCTCCCGTCGGCATTCTCAACGGACGTCTTCGTCAATCTGGCGGACTTGAATCCTTTGCCGTGGTTCATTCACTTGCCTGTGTGACACTTCAGGAGCTTTCGTTTGCAACGGAACTGCCATGCCAGGCATTGGGGCCAACTCAGCGGGAGTGCGGGGCTAAAGAAGCCAGGCGGAGGATACTTTTGAACAGGCAGCTAGTCAGTCATGACAGCCTTTGACACGTCCACCCAGCAGGGCCGCAGGGAGTCTTCTCTTCTGCTTCTTTAGGAGCTTGGCATCGCGGCATGTGGCATTGTGAGGTCTGACTTTGGCGAGCAAAATGGCATCTTGCCAGTGCCTTGAGACGTGCTTTGCACACCAGACCAGGACCAAAGCTTCGCACCAAGGTCCGAGCCTTTTGGCTTTGACGGAGCCGCTGCCCCAGAATGCCAGACGGGTGCCTGTGGTCCTAGGTCCAAGGCCGGAAACTTTGAAGCTCCCCTCTCAGCCCTCTCCTGCCCCAAGGATTCGTCCGGAGTGCACGAGGCAGAGGTGGCTCCTGGGCAAGACGGTGCTGCTAGGGATTTTCAGGACATGTCAGGACCATCTACGGAAATCGACCTGCCATATAGAATTCACACGAGCCGAAAGAAGGGGCATGTTGGCCTGTCCTGGCTGTTGCGCGCAGATTTGCTGCGTGCGCAGCTCGGACATGGCTGCCGGAGATGCGCTCGTCTTTGCCGGGTGCCTGGGTGGTGCCTGGGTGTCTTGCGTGGATTCTGCACTCTGCACACGGTGGAACGGTGTGGAATCCATTCTGATCTTTCGAGCCATTTCAGATCCGTCTAGCCAGATCGGCTTCTCCACTTCTGAAGAGGGTGGAGGGCCATCATTGGACGACGTGCTGCCATGGACGTGGTGACGAAGGTGTCGCGAATCCCAAGGCAGGGCACGATATGTAAGGCGAGTGTGCTACGTTGCAAACTGCCAAACCCTGGCACAAGGAAAAGGGAGCGGCCAAAGAAGCAAAGGCAGCAAAGGGAGCTGTCCTGGCACTTGCTTCACGACAGAAGATTGGAGATGTCAATCGAGCGCTTCGTGTAGCGCGGCATCAGATTTTGGGATGTTCTCTTCGTGAAAGGGTTCTGCGGTTCTGTGCAGCGCAGCGCAGGCATGTAAGCTGCGATCGGCCTGGGAGGCTGCCTCCCTGCAACTTGGAGCTGATTACCGTCTAACTCCAGGTAGGAGGCCGCAACCGGATACTTGGACTTTGCGAGTCCGTTGACACCCAGGCTTCTAACAACGTCTGGTCAGAAGAGTCTTCAGGCAGATGTTGTCTCGTGCCTGGGATCGAACATCGACGAAAGCTGTGAAAAGCCAGACTTAAATCCACTCTAGACTCCCTGCGATTGTGCGACATAGGTACACAACGTTGGTGGGTGCGAGTATGAGCAAAACTTGGGAATGGGCAATCGGCATCTTTGCAGATGTGCTGCTTGGAAAAACTCAGAGGGGAAGATGTCGTTCCTTGCAAGCTTTGAGCACCTCAACACATTGTTGCTGTATTTCACTTGGAGGCTTTGGGGAAGTGAGTGTGAGTCAGTGTGAGATGCACCGAGGGCTCGCAAGGACCTGATCTTGGACAAGGCAGGGGCATGTAGGGGCTTGATCTCACACTTTTGCTGGAGACGCAGCCAAGGTAGCGGAGCTCACACTTTTCACTGGCTTCGCCGCTTTGGGCAAGTGGGTAGCTGCGCTTTCCTCGTTTGCAGACTTGCAGGCTTGTTGCTAAAAGAGGGTCAGGTCATTGAGATGCATGATGATGCATGTAATATGCTTGTCTCCAGCAGGTTCAGCAGACAGAAGTGGACCAGCAGATGGCTACCTCTGCAATGACTTCCTGTGCCGGACGTGACACATGGGCCTCAGCGATTGTACTGCCCCAAGATGAACTGATCAACAAAACAACTATTGTCCCTGTTCTCGGACTGCTGTCCTGATGGCTGGAATTCCCAGGCTTTGATTTGCAAGCTTCAGACGGCGTGCGTAGAGATTGACACAGCTTCTTGGTGGCAAGTACTGTGGCTGGTGGCTTCGCAGAGCTGGTAGGTGTATGGAATAAAGCAGCTGCGGCTCGATTTAAGCAGCAAGGAGAGTAAAGCCGTTGCAGGCTAGGACGAGCTTGCAGGTTCGACAAAGTGGTGTTTTGCTAAAGTCAGTGTTGCCAAGGCTGTCGTCAATGCTGCAATGAGTGCAATGAGCGGTGCCGGTGGCTGGATGTTGGCGCTGTCGGCACTGGAGGACATCGTTCGTTCTCAGAGGTTGAATATCAGCAGCTTAAGTTTGACTCGACTGCTAGAAAGGATGTTGCCACTCGCCAATCGATTGACGTGATATCGATAAATGCTGCTCTCAGCGCCGCTGGCTTGAGCGACAGAGGAGTGTTCTCAGCTTCTGTGATCCAACGACGTTCTATTAGTTGAACCCCATTGGCCTTGCCAGGTGCTTGCGAGCGATCTGGGCAGTGGCAGCCCGCCATGTCCCTCTTGGAAGGATGCTTGCCGTCGGTTCCAGACATCATATCTTACGGTGCAGCCGTAAGTGCCTGCGAGAAGGAAGGTCGGTGGGAAGAGGCCGTGTACCTTCTTTCTCGGCTGCCACAGGTCAGGATTGCCGGTGATGTATCTTTCTACAACGCCGTGATCAGTGCGTCTGAGAAAGGCAGTCGCTGGCAGATGGCTCTTCAACTGTTGCCCATGATCTCAGTCCTTCGGCTGGAAGCTGATGTGGTCAGCTACAGCAGTGCTATTAGTGCTTGCCAGAAGTGCGACGAATGGCGAGTGGCGCTGTTGCTGCTATCGGAGATGGAGATGATCCATGTCAAGGTCGACACAATCGCTTGCAATTCAGCAATCTCGGCATGCAGCTGGTTGAAAGCACTCGGGGTTCTGAACACCATGCAGTTCTGCGCTGTGCGAAGCACAATTATCACCTTCGGTTCAATCACAAGCTGTTTTGAGAGCATGGGAAGATGGCAGCTGGCTCTACAAATACTGCGTATTGGCAAGATGCAGACCCTGCGTTTGCAAGATATCACCTGCAATGCCGCCATCGGGGCGTGCGAGAAGGGAGTCCGAAGGGCCAGCCAGCGTGAGTCGAAAAAGGATGCTTACTGACCGCCCCCCTCGCAGGGGGGTTCTCTGAAAGAGTGTCGCACATGTGAAATCCGAGGCCTTGGATATCACCGGGACAGTCAGCTTTTGGCGGGTGCTAGAACTGGCTTCGGTTGGTCCTGACCCTGGCCTTGCATGCAGCTGCGTGCAGTTTATGTGTGCTTGAGAGCTGAGGTGTGAAGCTTGCCTTGCAAGGCAGCCTCGCCCTTGCGCGAGGCCGCGCAAGTTTCGGTACCGCGGAGCTATATAAAGGGAGGAGTCGCGATTGACCAGCACTGATGACTTCCGGCAGATTCGTTCCCACAGCTCTGCACGCTTTCCTTCCGACGGAAATGCTATTGCGTCGCATTTTTGCTTGTGCTTCCTACGTGTTGCTCTGCCGACTTATCATCTGCGGCCGCAGTTAGGATTTGCTTTGCGAGTGTATGGCAGGCCCGCACTCTCACGTGCTTGCCGACTTCCTCGGTGCCTCGTATCTTTGCATCCATCCACAGCAACAGGCCGGGCTTTCGCTGACCGGATGCCGGATGCCTTCGTCAAGCTTTGCCTCAGCCACTCCCAGGGAGAGTTCGTAGCGCTGTCCACAGCTGGAATCCGGCAAGCCAACAGTCTGGCCAGCATGTTTGTCACGCCTTCGACGAGCCCTGGCCGCCACCGTTGCCACCGTGGCCAGGGCAACGCTCTCTGACCTCGAACGTGGCGGATGGCCCCAGGACGGAGAGATGCCAGAAAGCGGTACTTCTCACGGTCACCAATTCTCACGAAGGAACTTGGAGCTGCTCAGACACGCCGAGGAGGCGTGGTGGCCAAGGTGCACCTGGTGTTGGCTGCTCGTGAGAGCTGTGAATGCCAGGAAGAAGGTCTCCTCCTTCCGAGTGACTCCTTTGCATCCCAGCCTTGTAGTGGAGGGCTTACTGCCTGCTGCTGCTGCAGTTGCGGCTGCCCAAAAAAGTCAAGCATGTTGAGGTGGTGCCTTCAATCCCTTTTTCCCTGGGCTGCTGTTAGTGGCATTCGCCGAAGGCGCAGATTGCACGTTCGGACTCTTTGCACGTTTCACACGGGCCTTTGAGTGGGCATGTGTGTTTGCTTGTTCGTTTGTTGTTTTGTGCGCTCGTGTGTTCATACTGTATTCAATTGCACGAAGTTGCACTATGTATGCTTCTTGGCAACTCACGTTCATAGTAGATGGAAGCACAAAGTGGCAGTGATGGTTTCTTCGCCTGCTGAAGACGTGGCAAGGCGATCTTGCCCTCTTTGACTGCTCCCTATGTGTGCCCGTGACGCACTGGGCAAGTGCCGTTGGCAAGGCAGGTCACGAAGAAGTCCAGGTGCTTCGTCGCCTGGACTCACATGAGCCCTGGGCAGGCCACCGGCGCAACAATCTCAGTTGCATGGTCTACCCGGAGGCATGTGTTGTAGGAGCGGCCGGAGTTCAGCAATGTTTGTCAACCTGCCTCGGGGAAGGCCATGTGTGTTCTTCGTGAAGTGTGGTGACATGCTGGATGCCTGACACTCATACCCGGTACTGCGGTACACCTGCTTTGTGAGCTGTGGGGTAGACCGGGTTTACTGCCTGCGTGCATGGTCGGTTGAGTCCAACGAGACTAAATTTGCAACTATGCTCGAGGTGTGGGACCTTGCGGAGAGGACCCATGTCCCAGTGCACAGCACCACTCTGGAAGGCATCAAGAGCAGTCTGCCGTTAGCGAGCTGCCCTGCAGCCCTGATTGCGTCCCACCCCTGTCCAGACACAGCAAGGTTTGGGAATGCTACCGTATGCTGCGGCACTGGCTCATGAGGCATGTCTGATGCGTTGAGCTTACATAGTCCACGTGTCCTGCTGAAAGCATGCTGTGGGGGCCTGTGGCCGCTTACCAGTGTTTATTGGGGGGCGGTGTGTCCCTGAAAAATTTGGATGGCTGCCCTCATGCATCCAGTTGGGATTTCGTTCATCACGCAGTGCCACAGCGTGGTGCCAACAGCTGACCAACATCTCAATCACGCCTCCAGCGTTGATGCTACATGCCGTGGCACTGTCGGGCAGTGTCCTGGCGTCCTGGGATCATGAAGCACTATGCGAGCTGACTCCAGAAGGTGTCGCGGCTGCATCATGGTATGCTTCGGTATGATGGCAGGGCCAGACAAGGATATTGAAATGCTGGACGGAGGCGAACACCTGGACGAGGCTATCAAAAAACAGTTGCAGCCACTGAATCTTGGCTGCTGATGTCCCCAAATGGCCGGTCGTGTCGCATTGTAGCACACGTTTAATCTCGTCTCAAGCTGCATCTGAGTTTGGCTTCGGACTGAGGGTTGGCGCGTCGCCTTTCCAGCAGCGCCTCTACCTTCGTGGCGAGGAGGCCGGGAGGTCAAGGCTACAGTGCTTTGCATTTCAGCACGTAGGATGCAGCTATGGCAGGTTCTTGATGTCGTACGAACCTCCTCGAACCCGCCGCCAGAGGAGGCCTCTCGAGTGCTACGAGACAGCACAGGTGACAGGGGCGAACTGCGAAAGCACATGCCAGGAGCTACAGGTGGTTGTTTTGCCACTGAGATACGATGCCGCTGCGGACCTTCGTCTGCAGTCCGCTGCAGGTGTTGTGTAGCTGAGGAGTCTCCAGCGGCAGTGTGACGTGAGAGTCGTTTGCCTGGAGGTGACCTTGCAAAGATCAAGCAGTTACTGCGCGAACCCCAAGCTCCGGATCCCTTGGCGCGGCTTGGCTGGCAGAAGACGAACCCTGCCTTCCCGCAAGTCCCTTGCTTTGAGGCCGTGTGAATTCACGCCGCTACAGCTCGCCTCACGCTATGGTCACTTGGAGGTGAAGTACAATGAACACAGGGGCTGTCATGTGAAGGCTCTGTGCGCGGGATCTTGCTTGCTTCCGCCCGGGCAGGTGGTTCGAGCACTTCTTGCCGCGGGCGCCGACAAAGATCGACAAGGAATCTCCTTAAAAGGTCGGTCTCATCCAAGCAGCGGGCCTTCCAGGTGGTCCGGGTGGTATTTCTCTTTTCCCACTTGTCTGCCCACTGCAGCATCGTGTGCATGTCTTACAGACCAGCTGTTGTAAATGCGTCTCTGGTACCTGCGTCTTGTCGCAAGTGAAGGGATGTAGCAGCGCCAGCTTGTGTCTTCCAGGACTGGCCGAAAGCACGCCCTTGTTGGAGGCGATCGACCACCAGCACTTGCACGTTGCTGGCCTAATGTTCCGCCTGCCTTGTGGGGATAGTGCAAGCTACTACCTTTTCAGTACCGGGGTTACCGGAGTGACTGTTCGGATCGGCCCTGCAGAAAAACCACGGACAAGCAAAGAGCACGTTGCGAAGTTTCTAAACTTGAAGAGAGCGCGCGGTCACAGGAGGTGTAACGTTTTCCTTTCGTTTTTGTTGTGCTCAGGTGGCTCGTCACCTCGTTCGCATTCGTGCGGACATCGGCAAGGCCGGCCTCGGCGGAACGACACCATTGCTTGTTGCCGTCGAGCGGGGCGATCTGAAGGCAGCAAAGCTCTTAGTCGAGAGTGGGGCTGACAAAGAGCAGCCAGATGCAAGTGGCTTGACACCACTACATGCTGCTTGTGGACACTTGGATATGGTCAAGTTCTTGCTTAGCATGAGGGCGAATCAGAACGTGCAGGACACGAATGGAAAGACACCCCTGCGTATCGCTGCTGGAATTGGCCATGCAGACGTGGTGGAGTGCCTTGTGCTGTCCGGTGCTGACAAGGACATGCCTGACGCTCTGCTGGTTTCGCCGCTGTGGGCGGCAGCCCGCAATGGCAGAAACGATGTAGTCCAACACCTGCTGCATGCCGGTGCTGACCACGACCAGGCTGATATCGATGGTGAGACGCCGTTGAGGGCTGCAGCTGAGCACGGTCACCTTGAAGTAGTTCTGCGTCTGCTAAGAGGACATGCGGATGTAAACAAACAGGACATTGATGGGAGAACACCGTTGCTGGCTGCCGCTCATGCTGGAAAGTTGGAGGTTGTCGAGATTCTGCTCCAATGGCATGCCATCGTCGATTGTATTGATTCAGAAGGTCAGACGCCCTTGCTGGCGGCTTCCGAGCATGGCTTCGTGGATGTTTGTCGCAGCCTGCTGGACAGGCATGCTGATGTAAATCATTGTCGGGCTGATGGCACGACGTCTTCCAAGCTGGCTGCACAGCGGGGCGAATTGGAGGTCCTGCGGCTCCTTCATTTCGCAGGCAGCTTGATCGCACCGTCTGTCTCGTGCGTGGTCTGTAATGCTTGGGAGACTGGCAGAGGTGCTCTGGTGGACCACTCAGATCACGAGGGCGTCACACCGCTCTGGGCTGCTGCCAACAGTGGCAAGCTCAAAGCAACTTGACTGCACCTGCAACGTGTGGCACTGTGAGCAGCTTCGGGCTCGAAGGTCGTGCAGTACTTGCTGGAACAGCGTGCTGATGTAGCCAAAGCGTGCAGAGGTGCCAAAGCTGAAGTGGCTGCGAGTTCAGCTTCGCTGACTGCACTTGCACAGCCTTCAAAAAACTGCGCTGCGACTTGTCGAGGGCAGAGCTGCCTGCAAGCCGCCTCCCAGCGCTGCCATTCGCAGGCGGCGGTGAATGGAACATGCGGACGTCCCTTTTTTCTCTTTTTGGACGTAGGCTGCCCGCATCTGGCCTGCATCCTGAGTCAGGTGGTTTCGCTCTTGACACCCTTGGACCACCAGAGCAAGCGCCGCAAAGTTGGCGAGTAGCAAAGAAACCGCGTGAATGTGTTTCCACCGACGGGCCTGCTGCAACCCGCGCTTCACGAAGCGAACGCCCTGAAATGATGCGATGTGTGTAAAAGAGAATTCACGAATAATTTTTGTGCACCTGCGTGCTGTTGCAAAGAGGGAGTGCATCCTCAACGGCAGATGTTGGCCCTCCGCGTCCTCCATCAGCTGTGTCAAGCTGCTGCGAGCTCTTCGTGAGCTTGGGCCCCGTATGCTCAGACTCTGACTGGAGTTCAGAAGGTTTTGGGGAACTTGGGGCTGATCAGCCCTTTCCCAATCGGAACCTGAATCGCGCTTGCAGCGAGGCGCAGATGGTCGACCTGTGGTTTCGATGGGAAGCCTCGGCCTTGCAGAAACACCTAGCTGGAGATTCAAGCTAACGGTGCTGAGTGTGCGAAACTCATGCCTGTGCGCCGCGATGCCTCAAGAGAGAGCGCTCTCTCGGTTCAGAAACTCTGCATCCATTCTGGCCGTGCGATAGCATCTTGCAGTTCTGTTGGAAGGTAAGCCCTGGAAGCCTGCCACAATGTTGACAATGTTCGAGCACTCTCTTTAGAGCCATGGCCCTTACGCTGTCCATCGGACTTCTCAGTGGCCGAAGTACCCAGGAAGGGCCTCGGAACTGCAACATCCTTGTCAGAATGCTATCATGTTTAGATTGATGTCGCGTGCGTCTGACATGTGGCAGGTTTCTGTAGACTCGGATGCCTCGGGCGCCGAGCTGCAGCGTCGAGCAGAGGTGCGCATTCTTCCAGCTCTTGTAAGGTCTAGTCGCATGGGCAGTCTTCCTTGGCTTCAGACAGGCCGCACTGCGGACGGAGTTGGCCGGCTTGGCGACTTTGTTTGATTTTGCTTTGTTTGAGTGTCTGGTTTCAGTCACCATAGGTCGTGCACTCCCCGGCATGCTTGCTTGTCACAGGTCACTGCTGCAGGAAACACCCTGCTGCTTGGAGAAGCAAAGAGGGTGTATGGATGCGTAGGGCGGGAGGAGGCCGGCGTTCAGCTCAACTCTGAGAGTCTCAGGACCGGGTCTGAGACTCTCAGACAGGCAGGTATCCGTGATGGCGATGCGCTCAGTGCAGTCGCAGGACCGCGGTGTAGAGAGAGGACGTTCTTCATATGTTCATGGCTTCGGGGCCTGTGACAGGAAATGCCCCTGACAGCGTGCCCAGTGCGAGATTCATGTCGGCCTTTGTTCGGGGCTTAGCCCACGAAGTTCCGTGTCCATTCTGATTCTGATTGCCCCAGCATCTGCGCAGACACCTCTATGATAGCTCAGGCTCTGATTCGTGGCGATGGAAGCGTGGCTGCTTGGGGCGACAGAGCATGCGGAGGCTTGCTGTAGTCCTGACTCGAGTTCAGAGCTTGAGCTGTCGGCGACTTTGCAGGTGACTGCAGCCCTGTCGTAGACGAACTCGTCGGCGTGACACAAATCCAGGCAGGGGAGTGGCTTTGGACTCGACACGCTGGCTCCGGCGGTTCCGCCAGACCTCGTCCTCTGCCTTTGCAGCCTTGCGCCGCGATGGTGGGGTGGTTTCCTGGGGCAATCCGAGGACCGACAAGGCGGTTTTGAACTTGGGTTTGGTGCAGTTTAAGGTTTAGGGGTTCGGCTTTTGGGGCAGGGTTTACGGCTTACGGATTGAACTGGATTTAAGCATTCTGTGATTTTGGGGCGCTTTGGGTTGGGGTGGTTTGGGGTAAGGGGGTTGAGCATGTAGGCTTCATGGTTGAGGACGTAGAGAATTTTCGGGGTTGTATGGAGTATGGAGCGTTTACAGTGCGTTTGGGGATTGAGCGAGGTTTAGTTAGCGGGCAGGGATTGTGTTCGGTGTTCAGGGCTTTGGGGGTTTAGGGTTAAGGGAGTGCCACACGAACAAAAAGCTCGCGGCGTGCAGGGTAGTTCGGCCGAATGGCTTCGCAAAGCCATTCTACATAGTGGATCTTTGGTGCTTGGTGGTGTCACTTCTGCCTGCTATAGAGATGTGGACGACATCATCGGCCAAGATTGTCGTCCCTGCATCATGCAGTCTGCAAACCTTACAGTATGTTGAGGACGTGAACTTGATTGCCTTCGAAGCCGGAAAGTCTTTGGAATGGACGGGCTGTGCGCACCGCAAGGCATCACAAGTGACCCAGACAAGCAAGGCCCGGGCAGGGCCAGGAGGGCAGTGGGCGCCCCACGAGCGGTCCCACAGACAGATGCATGGACTAGGCGGGTATGGAGGGGTGGAGGGTTTTGGGTTTAGGGGTGTTAAGAGTGTGGGAAGGCTCTCGGGGGTTCAATGGTTTAGGGAGTCTTGGGGTTTCGGGTTTAGGTGATTTAGGGTTTCGTTTTTTTGGGGTTTGGTTTCCTGCGGTGTCTGGATTTGTAGGGTTTGTGGTTTGTAGAGTTTGGGTTTGAGGGTTTGGGGTGCAGAGTTCAGGGTTAAGGGGGTTAAGGGTTTATATTGTTTGGGTTCTGGGATTTAGGGGCGGGGGGAAGCCAGTGTTTACGGTTTACGAGGGTTTGGTGATTTAGGGTTCCCGATTCAAGGATCGGATCGGACTGCGTCTGTCAATAGTCTGACGTCGGCACCGCATGTTGCGGCGACAAATTAAAATGCAAAGCAAAAAGTCTCATGAGATGCTAGCGGCACGCAAGAGCTGTGAAAGTGCTTCAGCATGTGAGCTGTGCAGCTGAGCAAAAACAGCATCAAGCGTATCTGTGCTCGCCGTAGCTAAATCAGAGAGAGCGGACTTGGCTAGCAGAACAAACTCCGAGGTGGAGCAGTCACGCCCGTCGAGTCCGAGGGTCTGAAGGTGAAGGAAATGTTCGGCCGAAAACAAACCCTCACCCTGAAACAGAGGCCCTGGCAGCCTAACAGCCGGCAGATCAGCTGGAGGAAGGGTATCCCGCAGACGATCAGCACAGCTTCCTGACGGTCGCCTCATGTGGAGCTGCGCCAGTAGCACGTGGCCACAATGCGGCGAGTCGTGTATGACGTGCCTCAGCAGGCGAGGCCTGCTCCAGAAGCACGTGAGGCATGCCGGGCAAGTGGATTGTGGCACCTGCTTTGCCAAAAAAGTGCTCACCCTGTGCTGTCCCCACTGGTGAGCGCGAAGAGTGTGCAGGTCGGGGAACTCCTTACAGCAGTCTGCACATCGGAACAGGCCATCACCCGGGGTGCAGCTCTCACTGACAGGAAGGGGAGCTGCGGCTGCCGCTTGTGGTGCCTGTGCAGCGCGGCGCTTGGCCCGGCGAAGAAGACCACGAACTTTCCCGGGAAAATGCAAAGCGGCTTCCACAAACTCGTCGACACTCCCGAACGTCATGGCCTTGGTGGCGGCCCGGGAAGACGGCCATAGACAGTTGAGCCACTCGATGTCCTGGCTAACGACATGCAGCCAGGCGGAGGTAGAAGCTTCAGCCTCAAGCTGAAGAGCTTGCAGGAGAACCTCCTGTTGTTGTGCCGCGATTAGGCGGAGGTGCTCAAGTCGCAAGATCCGGAGCGATAGCTCTGGAGAAGGCCGACCAACTTGGTCGCACAGCTGCGGCAAGGCAGGGAAGCATGGTCCGTCTTCGCCGCGACGCGGGTTCACAAGGCAGCGATACAAGCTGCCGTGCCCAGCTTTCCAAATGGCAGCCTCTTGAGTAGTGAGCTGCCCCCAGACAGCTGCCCCATAGTGTGCCCGGCTAGTGGCAAGGGTGTCGAGGATGACACCGCGGCTTGCGAGCTTCACCGAGCCTCTTCGCAACACCTTTTTGGCCAAGGGCCCTGCAACGCTTTGTGCCGACCCAAGCTTGCGTCGCAAGTCTCGGCCAGGGCGGCACTTGGCACTCAGGAGTGTGCCCAGGTGGCAGTACTGCGATACGCAGCGCAGCCTTACAGGGTGCTCAACCGGGAGGCAAACCTCGCCGCAGCCTGTCCCAAAAAGTGATCGTGCTGCCTGCTTAGAGCCAGGGCCGGCGAAGGAGACGAGGGCTTCCGTTTTGCCCGGCCCATAATTCGGGCACATCGCACGCTTGTGACAGGCTTGGTGAAGGGCAGTGGCGGCAGCAGTCACGATCGAAGGAACTTGCTTGGCACTGCCAACAAGGGGAAGAGACAGGTCATCAGCCCAAATAGGCAGAGCAGCCTCAGGAACGCCTTGGCTCTGCAGACAGGCACGAACGTCATCAACGACACAGACGAGTGCGAGGCTGAACAGAACGTCTGACACGGAGTCTCCGGGCCTGGAGCCAACCTGAGTGTATGTAAGGGAGTCTAGGCCATCCAACACAAAAATTGTGTGACGGTAGGTGGAGGCAAGGACTCGGCGCAGGTGCGGGGAAGAAGACTCGAGCAAGGCCCCGCCATTGGCGAAATCGACAACGTCCTGAACATACCTGGCCGGTACCTGCATGCGACTGAGCAGTTTGCACAGGGTATCATCATCGAGCTGCTCGCCCGTGATTGCCTGCCGGAGGAGGCGGTAATAGGCAGCAGTTAGGTCAAGGAAGATGACCCCAAAGGACTGCTTGGTGGCAAGGGCAGTGCGCATCTTCGTGAGAAGAAAGTGCGTGAGGCCTGTGGCAACCGAGCCTGGCAGGCAGCCCTGCTGCAGTGAGTGGTTGAGCCTTGTCCGCAAGCGCCTGTAGCAAACCAGGGCGCTGCAGGCGATGAAGAAACTTCGCACTCGGGTCGAGCAGGGCAATGGATCTGAAGCTGTCAGCTCGTGCTGCTAAGCCAGCCTTCTTCAGCAGAGCAGCGAGCTTGGTGCAGCGATATTGCACAGGCTCTGTCAGGCGGAGATGCGCTTTCATGTAAACCTGTAGGAGTGCATTTGCCGAGGCTCTCGGGAAAGCCTTCCACAAGCAGACAGGAATTCCAGAGGGGCCAGGCGCCCGGCCATCCTTGGCTTCTCGAATCACACGTTCGACATCGAGAAGGCTGGGGAGCTCGGCGGGCTCATATTCCCCTTGGTTATCAGGCCCAAGACACAATGCAATGTAGTCCTCTCTGGCGATGGTGTGGCCCGCTTCTTGGTCAGCAAAGTGCTTGCGGTGGACCTCCTGTTGCGCCGGGTCAGTCTGGACGACCGCCCCATCAGCATCTTTGAGCAGAGTGAGGGGCTCGTACGACTTGAAAACCTTCTTGCCTGGCGGGCGGAAGAAGCGCAGGGCTGCAAAGAGGGCACGGGCGTCTGCCGACTGCACGGAGTCTTCGTACTTTTGCGCCTGTTGCTCGATGTAGGCCGCCTTACCTACGCACAGCGCCTTCCTGAGGTCAGATAGCAGGGAACGCTTGCGGTCACGGGCAACACGAAGGCGTTCCTCAGCCCTGGCATGTTGGTCGAGGAATCGAGCGGTGTCGGGGGGGCGGTTACAAACACCAACAGCAAACGCCCATTGGCGGCATGCCCGAAGGACCGCAGCCCTTTTGGCGCAGTCGGGTGCAAAGTTTACGGGCTTGAATCAAGGCCCAGGCATCGTCATTGACGTATGGCCGGTTGGGCTTGGCGGCGGTGGCAATATGCCGACAAGCCGCCCACAGTGATTGATCAAGAGCCTTTACATGTTCATGCACATTGCAGTCCCACGAGATGCTGGCAGCTTGTTGAAGAGCAGCTTCGACACGCGGGCCGTGCGGGAGCATGTCCTGCACAGTTCGGACCGGAAGCCGTGGGAAGGTCGGCACCTCGGATGCGGTCTCTTGGAAGGTGGCCCTGATCCGCACACAAGCTGGGTAATGAGCCTCGGGGCCGGCGGTTTCGATGTCGTGGTGAACATGGCAGCGCTGCACGTGCTGCCGCTGCACCACTGGCACAAGTACATAGTCGATCCTGTGTCGTGTCTGTTTGGGCGACACCCAGGTGTATGCTTTAGGGTCGACATCGCACACAGTTGCATCAGCGGCAGCAAATGTAGACGGAGCACAGAGCCTGGCATGTTCGCAAAAGGCATGCAATCGTGCGCCGTTGTCTGTCTCCTCATCGGCTGCGTGGGGCCCTATGTGCTGGTCCGAACAAGAACCGACCTGGCCATTCGAGTCAATCCCAACGTAGACAGGCAGAGACTCCAAGCAACAAAGATCGTACTGCTTGTGGAGGTGGGACCACCAAGCATCACACTGTTGCGCACTGTGGCCCGTGTGTGGGGCGTGCCCCGAGATCAGGTAGCAGCTGAGTTGCGGGGCTTCCAACCGAATAATAAGCAGCCTCTCGTCAGCATACAGAGGTTTGAGATGCTCCTTGCGTATCTTGCCCAAGGCCGAGTCTCTTGACACCCAAACAGCGCACCCCAGGTTGCCCTTGTGACAGGGGCTGCGGATCTCGACATAATCCTGGGCGCAGCAGGTGCCAGCGGGCAGTCTTGTCTCTTGCAAGAAGACCATTATGCAGCTGTAGATCGGCAAACTGCCTGCGTAGAATGTCCTTCTTGCCTCGGAGGGTCTGGACATTGAAAGTGCACAGACCAATAGGCTGCCCAGGGCGACCAACACGCTTGCGAACGCAGGTGGCAGTGGGCAGGCATCCCTCAGGCACGGGGTCGGGGGCCTCGTATTGGCCAGAAAGTATGCGCTCAAAGGGAGGC